AATTGGGTTCCATAATCCATCCGGGAGCCATTTTCAGTCGAAAAAGCCTTATTTTAAGGCTCCTATGAATAAAACTCAGTGGCGAAGGGCTCAAAGAATCAGGAAGGCTGAGCATGAAGCACAAGCCTTGGCTCAAGCTCAAGCTCAAGTCCAGGCACAAGCTCAAGCTCGAATCCAAGCCCAAATTCGAGCCCAAAATCAAGTCCAACAAGCCCAAGGAAATGCCGCCAGAAATATGCGGTGTACCTCGGTTAGTGTCGAAGTCAAAACGACTCAAGAGAGAGCACCAGCAATGAAAAAGGACTTGAAGATGAAGAGCCCATAAATCGAGTACGATGCGGATGATGAATTGATCACCGATGTATTCGAATCAGGCTTTGAGGATGATCTCGAGGATATACTTGGGGTTGTATCCATGCTGCCTGCTGAATATGCCGAAGGAATCGGCGAAGGAGATGAAGAAGACTTCTATGCTGATGACGAACCCGATAATAACCCATGGGATTATTGATATTTGGCAGAGGATGGTTCACTTGCTAAATCGTAAGCTATTTTCGAGAAGCTGACACATGAAATGAAGAGCCATATGAAGCCGCTATACATTGCGGCTCAAATTGACGAAAAATTTCGAGTGAACAAAGTCCTCGTGGATTCTGGGGCAGCTATCAATATTATGCCCAGTTTTTTATTGAAAAAGATTGGGAAATCCGAAGAGGATTTGCTGTCCCATAACTTGGTACTCACAGACTATGAAGGGAAATCTTCAAGTTCCAAAGGGGCCCTAATCGTCAACTTGAGGGTTGGATCTGTTTCTCGAGCAACCATTTTCGTAGTGGTAGCTTCTAAGGCAAGTTATAATCTATTGCTCGGGAGAGAATGGATTCATGGGGTTGGGGCAGTACCTTCGTCACTGCATCAGAAACTATGTCTTTGGAATAACAACGGAGTGTTGGAATACGTCGATGGAGATCAGAGCTATTTTAAGGCTGAAGTTCATGTAAGCAGTCTCGATAGCAAAACATTCAACAAGTCTTTTGCCAACATTGCGCCACTCGGTATAGAAGATATAGGCAGCCCTCATTTTGGCCGAAATCCTCTCCTACTAAATGCTCGCAAAATTTGACACCAGATCCGCCTAGACCCTTCGGTGGGTTTTTACGGCTTCCAAGAAATAGTGGAGGCCGAAAAGAATGGAAATGAAGAACCTTAAAAAAAGCCTTTTGGCTCGAATTTCGGCTTACGTAGCCGAAAATAGAATAAAAACGGCTCTCGAAGCCAGGGATACTTTGGAGGCCGATAAATTTAGTTCGGCCATAAAATCACAAAAAATTGAAGAAATCTCGGCCCATAAAGCCGTAGACCCAATCCAAGGCCATGCAGATATCAATACACTAGTGGAAAAAATATTTTTAAAATCGGTTATTTTTTATTTTTAAAATCGGTTGTTTAATCGATTTTGAAACGACCAATTTTAAATAGTGAACTTTTTAAAATCGGTTAACAACCAATTTTGAAACTAAACTTTTAAAATCGGATATGACACAACTGATTTTAAAGGATCAAGTACTTTTAAAATCAGTTATGCGAAACTGATTTTAAAGAGTTCACTTTTAAAATCAGTTATGCGATAACCGATTTTGAAAATAAAGTTTTAAAATCAGTTATGGCATAACTGATTTTAAAAGTTCACTTTCAAAATCGGGTAAGGTATAACCGATTTTAAAAGTGGTGATTTTTTTTTAATAATTAGCTTGTTTTTTGAAAGAATCAATATAAAACCTGCAAATCAGACAATTCAGACAATTTCAATGATGCACAATTTTCATAAATCACTTCATATAAATGACATCTCAATCATATTTATACTCCAAAGGAAAAGGAGTTTTAGCTATGTCCAAAACTATAAACATAAGTCCTAACTAATCAATGTGTTAAGAAAAAATGTAGCCCATTGGTCCCTAATGGTATTCAAGACTTCTTGTGGCAATGATGATCGATCAATAAATATCTGTAAAGAAAAATTAATAAAATTAGAAGTAATTCATAAAACATAATAAAATAAAAAAACTTAAAATAAGAATTTTGAAAATTATAAAACTCACATCAGTCCAACCCGATACTATGTCTAAATCAACAATAGTATGCATTGTCTTCATTACATAATATCCACACTCAAAGTTTTCTTTTTGCTTATGAGACTACAAAAAAATATATAAAAATCAATTTTAATAGTAAGGATAATAAAAATAAAATACATTAGATTAAATATCATTCATGGAATTAAAATAACCTACTTTAAGAGATATCCAAAGCATTTTTTTCTTCAATTTTGAGCCCTTGAGTATGTAATATCCTTCCATTGCTCTGATAATAAAATAACATTATTATTATGGTTTAAAATCAAATGTAATGATAATCAACAAAAGAAAGTAGTTGTTTTTAAAATACTTACTTATCTGATAATTGTTTGAACTCTGCAGGCGGAGGTCTATGCAATGAACAAATGCATACAACTTTATTTTCCATAGGACAAATAACCATTAGTTGCCAATGAGCACTACATTGAGAAACATATGTTGAGATAGAATACACTCTTAAAACTTTTTGTAATCAATTAATGGTAAAGATAACTTACTCAGAAAAGTAAGGGGCTAGGTAAACTTTTTTATTTGAGTCAGCCATCCAATTCTGGATGTAAGCTTGCGATTCTTCTGCCTTGTTCCCACTTTTTTGGATTGACTCAGGTTCCAAAAATCCATAAATGTGGTCATTTTTCTTATTGACACTTAATTTATGAATATATCTACAAGGTTAGAAACAAAGTTAGAATAAATCAACAAAACAAAAATGGAATTCATTAAAATACTTACAATAACCACAACTGCAAAATTGATATGTTCAGCATACAGTGCCCATTAATAATCTCTGATATGTCACTTTGACTTATATATAGAGGTATATTATTAGATCTACCAAACACCACATGTGGCCAAGGGACTTGTTTGGGTCGATCATCATCTTCCATATCTGCGACTAATCTCCATAGCCTCTTTATCGGAGGTAGATTTCTTGAAGGGGTAACCACAACCTTCTCCTTATCCTTTGGTGGGGCAACAACATCCTATTCAACAACGTACAATTTTGATATTATACTAAATTAGAAGAAAATAACACTAAGTTAAAATTAAATATTACTTAAATAACATACCTCTGAAGATATCATCTTCACCAAACTTTGAGGCCACTGAAGGAAGGTGTTTAGGGCTTGTCCCATCATTTGAACCTCCTCTGTCGGCACAGGAACTCTTGCCTCTGGATGTCTAACATCCATTACAGAAACCCTAACCATATCATCTCCTATGGTCCGATGATGCACAATAGACCCAAACATGTGAATCCTCCCTATGCCAACAGGATCGGGTGATGCATCGACAAACAACTCACACCGATTAGAGGTATCAGGGTCAACAGCAGTAGTAGAGGGATCAGCACCTGCACATGATCCCTTTGTACTCACACGTGTAATAACTGGTTCAATCAATGGAGTATTGTGCTGAAATTGTTGGCTAAGTGACTGTAAATGCTCTTGTAGTTTCCTTTGCATGTCCTCCTTCATCTGTCTATGAAACTCCTCTTTCACCTGCCTATGAATCTCCTCTTTCATCTGACTTACAACTTGAGAGACCTTCAGTTCCACCAATTGTTCAACTGAGTTAGATGACTGTGGAGATGATGGTTGTCCAAAGTAAGTCCGCAAACCATAACCTCCACCAACTGCCCGAACCCGACCTGCATGCTCAGGCTTCCCAATGGCAATAGTTAGTATATCATGTTGCCCATGGGAAACAAAAGATCCCCCTTCAGCTTGCTGCTTTAGTACATCCTACAATATAAGATACCAAAAATTTAATAAACCCTTTGAAATATATGTTAATTAGCATCATATGTACAACAAAATTATACTTACTATCTTGCTAGCAATCTCTTTTGCTACCTCAGTTGTAAACTCGCCCGTTTTCTTAATATGAGCAAACTTCCATAATTCGTGTGGGTGGAGAAGGAGGATCACTAACTACAGTCTCATCTTCACTAGCCTGACGTTTCATAGTCTTCTCCTTCATCAACTTCTTCTTAAGCCATGGATAACCCCCACGTGACATCACACAAAAGGTGTCATTATTTGCCTGCGTCTGTTGTGCCTTCTTTCTTTTCTCCTATAAAGATATCATATTATAAGAGTAAGGGTAAAAATTAATATTCATAAATGGTAATGCATATAGTCATAACATACTGTAAACTCTTCAGTCATTCTAGACTCTACAAATGCATTCCATGTCTCATGATCAGTAGTGGGGTTTTTATCACCAGGAAATTCTCCTTTCTTTTCTCCAAAAATGTATTGGTTTGTCAAAGTAGTTTTATATGCCCTCCACCTTCTAGCCACAATAGAAAGGGTTTTCCTTCTCATCTTTTCTGTTTTTGGAATGTCCCAAGTTTCCTACAAAGATAACAATAAGTTAATACATGTTGATATCCTAATCTAGTTTAATAACAAAAATGTTAAGTATAAATAACATTTTACCATAACATCTGCCCAACTATGATTTTTTACAGCCTCCTCTACATGATCCCAATTGGGCAATAAAATAGAAACCTTTGTTCTAGCATGAACCCCCATGGTACTCATAAACTGGGCAGCTGAATCCCCTGTAGGATGCCCAGTGATCTCATCTATGTCAACATGTAATCTTTCTTCATTAAGGCGTTTGGCTATAACATGTTTCATTTTAGTGGGACCTCTAACTTTTTTCTTATTTGTAGATTGTGTACTACCTGAAGGAGAGGCTTGATGTTCATCCATAATTACTTGTTAACTGAAAAATAAATTACAAGTCATTAGTATAAATTGAATTTAAATAATAACATATTGTACTTAAAAGACAACAAAAATTAGCATCATAAATAAAAATTAATAACAATAACCTATTTCAAAAATATGATCAAGTTTCATTGTTCTCCCATATTTCTTCCCGATGATCCTCACGAGTGGCATATACATCATCCACATCATCTTCATTAAAAGTTAGCACACATGTTGACAAGGAAGGAGTATCAATTATATTACTTAAATCTCCAAATTCTTCATTTACATTGTTACTTCTACCTTGTAGAACAATTGACGACCTTTTATTAGATGGATCGGTGACATAAAATACTTGCTTTACTTGGAAAGCCATGATGAAAGGCTCTTCTTTATGACCAACTTTATTAAGGTCGACCAAAGTAAATCCAAGTTCATCAATTTTGACACCACTATTACTATCAACCCACTTGCATTTAAATATAGGTACTCGAAATGGACCATAATCGACCTCCCATATGTCTTCAATAACTCCAAAGTACCACATAGAAGCTGTGATAAGGTTGTTATCATTTTTTGTTGAGAAATGCATAGATTGAGCAACTATCATAACCCTACTATTTTGCATAGTACTCTTGTCATCCTGTGCCTTTGTATAAAATGAGTAGTTGTTAATGTCATATCCACAGAAAGTAAACACATCAAAGTTAGGTCCTTGAGCTAAGCGTTGTAAAGTTTCAGAAACACTTAAATCTGTCCCAACATTCACTTTAAACCACTCTATGAAAGTCTTGTTATGCTCATTCAACACCCATTTTTCAGGCATTCGAGGGTTGTTTGTCTTCACTAAGTCTTTGTGGGCATTTAAATAAGGTAAAACCTCATCAGTGTTATTCAATATATACAAATGTGCTTGAAGCACTTCTTCTCGCATCATGCTTTTCAATTTTATGCCTATTGTACCCTTCCCAGCAGTTCGTCCCTCATGACGGGTCTTAGGAATGCCTATTGATTCAGCTTGAGACATGTATTCAGTACAAAACTCAATTGCTTCTTCTGCAATGTACCTTTCTATAATGGATGCTTCTGGACGATGTTGGTTCTTCACATACCCTTTCAATATCTTCATGTATCTCTCAACTGGGTACATCCACCTCAAAAAGACAGGACCACACAACCTAACCTCCCTAACCAAGTGGATGATTAAGTGAACCATAATGTCAAAAAAGGAAGGAGGAAAATACATCTCCAATTGACACAATATTAAAACAGCTTCATTTTCCAAATCATCCAACTTCTGAGGATTAATTACTTTACTACAAATGCCATTGAAAAATAGTCAAAGTCTGATTATGACTTGCCTCACATTTTTAGGTAAAACATCACGTATAGCGATAGGAAGAAATTGTTGCATTAGTACATGGCAATCATAAGACTTTAAGCCAACTAATTTCAAATCTTTCATTGATACTAAACTTTTTACATTGGAAGAGTAACCGTACGGCACTTTGACACCACGTAAGGACTCACAAAAACTTGTTTTCTCCTTTTTTGACAATGTGTGACATGCAGGGGACAAATATGTTCGCTTACCCATAGGTTGGGGATACAATTGTTCTCGTATTCCCATGAGTTGCAAATCTAGACGAGATTTGAGTCCATCTTTTGTCTTACCTTTTAAATTGAGAAGTGTGCCAATTACACTATCACATACATTTTTCTCAACATGCATGACATCAATGCGATGTCTAACATCAAGAACTTTCCAGTAAGGAAGATAAAAAAATATCGACCTTTTCTTCCATATGTTTTTTTCTTTGGGTTGTTTTTTCGACTTTCCAAGTACCACATTTAAATTCTTTACCCGGTCATAAACTTGCTCACCGGTTAATGCAGTAGGTGCTATGCCATATTCTTGACATCCATTAAAAGTTTTCTTTAACCTTCGATATGGATGGTTAGGTTGAAGAAATCTTCGATGACCAAGGTAAACTGTCTTCTTCCAATTAACTAGTTGATGGTAACAAGTGTCCTCTTCACATATAGGGCAAGCTTTGTGCCCTTTAACACTATACCTGCACAAATTTCCATATGCTGGAAAATCATTGATTGTGAAAATAACATGGCATGTAATTTGAATGATTCACATGAATACCCATTGTACACATCAATTCCCTTCTCCCACAACATCTTCAAGTCTTTAACCAATGGAGTTAAATAGACATCAATGTCGTTTCCGGGCTACCTTGGACCAGAAATCATCATAGATAATATCACATATTTGCGCTTCATACACAACCAAGGAGGTAAATTGTAAATTACCAATAAAACTGGCCATGAACTATGCTTAGTGCTTAAATTACCAAACGGATTCATTCCATCCGTAGCTAGTCCAAGCCTAAAATTTCTTGGCTCCTTGCTAAAATGTGGAAACATAGAATCAATTTTTTTCCATTGTAAGCAATCTGCTGGATGCCTAAGTTGTCCATCACACTTCCTCTCATCTTCATGCCATCTCATTAGCTTTGCATTATCCGCATTAGCAAAAAGACGTTTTAATCTCGGAACAATTGGTAAATACCATAAAACCTTAGCTGGAGGACCCTTAGTGCTCACATCATAATCAGAATCATCTTGCTTTTTTTTATATCGTGACAACCCACATTTTGGACATTGATGCAGCCCTTCATATTCACCATGATACAACATACAGTCATTTGGGCACCCGTGTATCTTCTTATACTCCAAACCCATAGGACACAACACCTTTTTTGCCTCGTAGTTACGACTAGGCAATGTATTACCCTCCGGAAGCATTTCTTTCAATAGTTCTAACAATTCTGTGAAGCTTTTATCACTCCACCTATTTCTTGCCTTCAGATTGAACAATCTCAATATCGCTGACAATCTTGTAAATTTCGTGCAATTTGGATACAACGGCTTCTCCGAATCACTACACAAAGATTCATACATATGTGCTCGCTTGAATGATTTTGGACCCACATCACGAATCATCTCCTCTAATTGATCATCCATATCTATCTCTTGTGTAAAAGTTTGAGTTGGAGTTTCAATTGAGACAGTTGGAATGTCAATATTTTCACCATGCCATATCCAACGTGTATAATTCTTAAGAAAACCATCACAGAGAAGATGTTCCCTTATAACATTAAGTTCTAAACGACTTCCATTACAACAATTAACACAAGGACAAAAAAAATTCCCATTCATATCATTATTAGCATTCTGTATTACATATTCAATAAAGTATTCCACTCCTGTCTCATACTTCCAACTTAAGCGTGATTCATGTATCCAACTTCGATTCAATAACCAACTTTTATCCATGACTTCTGTTCTTTATAAAAAACCATATATCATGCTTGTCAGTCTCATTTGTATTAAATCTCAAACAAGAAACTAAGATTCAATCAATTCATGCATAAATTTAATATCATATTAATTTATAAAAATTAAATAAAGTACTTAATCTTTATAAACACTTGTTACTAATAAATATCATATAATTATAATAAAAATTTAAACATTTATTATAGTTGTGGATGCAAATCTAAACAAACTTAGAAACTTCTTAAACCGAAATTGTTGAATGGCAATTATAGTTGTGGCAGAATAAGAACCAAAGAACAATAAACTTTATGGAATCCCATTTTCCTTTTGAAATCAACTAAAGGGAATTTAAAGAAAGCCCCTAACTAGCTAGCTAGCTAAGCTAACACGTCCTTTTTGATCCACAACTATTCATTCATCCTTCTTTTTGTTTTCCCTTACCGTAAATAAAATGTGAAGGTTGCGAACAATAATTTTGTTGAACTTATTTACACAATAATTTTACTTTTAAATGTTAAATTGAAAAACTTATATAATTAATAAGCATTACTTCCCACAAAAATTCCCTTACCACAGTGATAAATGGTAAACCTGGCTTGATAAAATTATTGAGAGTAAAATATATCAAACTTACGAGACAAAAGCATTACATATGGAATATTAAACTAATTAACAAAGTAGCAGAACTCCTATGAACACTAGCGAACATTTATGTTTTAACTTTAATCAGAGCCACCCCTCCAAAATGCCTTCTTTGGGCCACACCCCCATGTCACCTTTGTAGCTTTGCCATCTGAGATCACTCCTTCACACTTACCTCTCTCACCCATTTGTTTCACTCAATTGAATTACCCATTAAACATCATAACAATATACAACACTTTCCCATTAATAAAATTGCTTAATGCTCCTTAAACAAAAAAATATTGACGTCTTTTTTATTTTTAAATAATTAGAAAAATGTCAAATTATTTAAGATTCATTACAACAAAAGTAGTAATTCATTTATTTATTTTTATCACCACAATTAAAATTATAATTCCTCGTCAGTATTTTCTAAACTAACATATAAATCCCATATTTTCTAGTGATAATTCCTAGTGTGTAAATACTTAACAGCACTATCTCTTTAAAGAAATTGATCATCTCTATTATTCAATCTTGAATTTCCTATTAAAAATAAGCAACGGTCATTCAGGAACCAAAAAAGATGACATTGTGAATGATGCATTCACGAACGTTACTATCGGCATCTAAATTAGAACGTAAAACCAAGTACAGATAAAGAAAAAGCATCCAAAACAGCGAAAGAAGTGAATACATTACCTAAAATGGGTGCACTTGCCTTCGACCTAAAGATTGCAGCTTTGAATCCTGCCCCCACCTTTTAACCTTCTCCAAATCCTGAGTTTACCTCCTTCTTTAGTAGATAGGCCGAGACGCTCATTCAACCTTCTCCAAATCCTGAGTTTTTTGAGAAAACCTCCTTCTTTAGTAGATAGGCCGAGACGCTCCACTGCTAGACCTTGCTTTGCTCTTCTCTACTGGAAGGAAGCCTGAGGAGCAATTGCCGGTCCGGAGCAAATCTATTATATTAACGGATGGGAACCCCAGAGCAAATCTCTAACTTGCCTAGGTCTTTGCTGAGCGCTGGAACGAGAAGGGGCTCCTCTGCTGCGAGAATGACTCAATAAAGGGAGATATTTGTATAAAAAATCATACAAGATCGGTTAATAGAAAAACCGATTTTATATAAATCTTTTAAAATCAGTTAATAAGAAAACTGATTTTATATATATCTTTTAAAATCGGTTAATAGAAAAACCAATTTTATATATATCTTTTAAAATTGGACATACACAATTGATTTTAAAATGCTAGCAATTATTTACAAAATTGCCACCGCGTCATTTTTAAAATCGACTACTTAATAACCGATTTTAAAAGTGTGATTTTAAATTTATTTTTTCCACTAGTGCATGCCACTAAAACTCCTTGAATATCACTCGTAGGACTCAAAGGAATGCTTTCTCACCACCTTCTCCCCTTCTCGCACGTTTTGGAGCCTTTGGACCAAAGTTCCAGGTTTGGTCTCTTTTGGTCCCCTTTTGCTTACCAGCAAAGGAAGACGTGCGACACTCGTCTGAGGCCACTAAAACTCCTTCAAAATCACTCCTAGGACTCAAAGGAAGGCTTTCTCACCACCTTCTCCCCTTCTGGCGCCTTTGGACCCAAGTTTCAGTTTTGGTCTCTTTTGGTCCCCTTTTGCTTACCGGCAAAGGAAGACGTGCGAAACTTGTCTCAAGCCACTGAAACTCCTTGAATATCACTCCTATGACTTCAAGGAAGGCTTTATCACCACCTTCTCACCTTCTAGCACTTTCTGGTGCCTTTGGACCTTTGGTTTCTTTTGGTCCCTCTTTTGCTTATCGGCAAAGGATTTATGCGAAACTCGTCTCAAGCCACTGAAATTTCTTGAATATCACTCCAAGGACTCAAAATAAGGCTTTCTCACCACCTTCTGCCCTTCTGGCACTTTCTGGCACCTTTGGACACAAGTTCCAGTTTTGGTCACTTTTGGCCCCTTTTGGTTAGCGGCAACGGAAGACGTGCGAAACTCATCTCAGGTGATGGAAACTCCTTCAATATCAGTCCTAGGACTCAAAGGAAGGCTTTCACACCACCTTCTCCCCTTCTGGCACTTTCTGGCGCCTTTGAACCAAAGTTCCGATTTTGGTCTGTTTTGGTCCCCTTTTTAGTAAAGGTAAAAGAACACACGCTAAACTCGTCTCAAGCTGCTGAAACTCCTTGAATATCACTCCTAGGAATCAAAAGAAGGGTTTATCACCACCTTCTCCGCTTCTGGCACTTTCTGGCGCCTTTGGACACAAGTTCCAGTTTTGGTCGCTTTTGGTACCCTTTTGCTTACCGACACAGGAAGACGTGCGAAACTCGCCTTAGGCCACTGAAACTCCTTGAATATCAGTCCTATGACTTAAACGAAGGCTTTCTCACCACCTTCTCCCCTTCTGGCACTTTCTGGCGCCTTTGGACCGAAGTTCCAATTTTGGTATCTTTTGTTCCCCTTTTGCTTACCGGCAAAGGAAGACGTGCGAAACTTATCTCAGGGCACTGAAACTCCTTGAATATCACTCCTAGGACTCAAAGGAAGGCTTTGTCACCACCTTTTCCCCTTCTGGCACGTTCTGGCGCCTTTGGACCCAAGTTCCAGTTTTGGTTTTTTTTGGTCCCCTTTTGCTTACTATTAAAGGAAGACGTGCGACACTCGTCTCAGGCCGTTGAAACTCCTTGAATATCACTCCAAGGACACAAAGGAAGGCTTTGTCACCGCCTTCTCCCTTCTGGTGCCTCTGGACCGAAATTCCAGTTTTGGTCTTTTTTGGTCCCCTTTTGCTTACCATTAGAGGAAGACGTCCGAAACTCGTCTCAGGCCACTGAAACTGCTTAAATATCAGTCCTAGGACTCAAAGGAAGGCTTTTTCATCACCTTCTCCCGTTCTAGCACTTTCTGGCGCCTTTGGACCCAGTTTTGGTCTCTTTTGGTCCCCTTTTGCTTACAAGCAAAGGAAGATGTACGAACCTCGTCTCAGGCAACTGAAACTCCTTGAATATCATTGCAAGGACTCAAAATAAAGCTTTCTCACCACCTTCTCCCCTTCTGGCACTTTCTGGCACCTTTGAACCCAAGTTCTAGTTTTGGTCTCTTTTGGTCCCCTTTTGCTTACCAGCAAAGGGAGACGTGCAAAACTCGTCTCATGCCACTGAAACTGCTTGAATATCACTCGTAGGACTCAAAGGAATGCTTTCTCACCAACTTCTCCCCTTCTCGTACGGTCTGGAGACTTTTGACCGAAGTTCTAGTTTTAGTCTCTTTTGGTCCCCTTTTGCTTACCGGCAAAGGAAAACGTGCGAAACTTGTCTCTTGCCACTGAAACTCCTTGAATATTACTCCAAGGACACAAAATAAGGCTTTCTCACCACCTTCTTCCCTTCTCGCACTTTCTGGCGCCTTTGGACTCAAGTTCCAGTTTTGGTCTCTTTTGGTCCCCTTTTGCTTACCGGTAAAGGAAGACGTGTGAAACTCATCTCATGCCACTGAAACTTCTCGAATATCACTTGTAGAACTCAAAGCATTGCTTTGTCACCACCTTCTCCCCTTCTCGCATGTTCTGGAGCCTTTGGACCGAAGTTCACGTTTTGGTCTCTCTTGGTCCCGTTTTGCTCACCAGCAAAGGAAGACGTTCAAAACACGTCTCAGGCTGCTGAAACTCCTTGAATGTCACTACAAGGACTCAAAGGAAGGATTTCTCACCACCTTCGCCCAGTTTTGGTCTCTATTGGTACCTCTTTTGCTTACCGGCAAAGGAATCATGCGAAACTTGTCTCAGGCCACTGACACTTCTTGAATATTGCTCGTAGAACTCAAAGGATTGCTTTTTCACCACCTTCTCCCCTTCTCGCACGTTCTAGAGCCCTTGGACCGAAGTTTTCGTTTTGGTCTCTTTTGGTCCCTTTTTGCTTACCAGCAAAGGAAGACGTTCGAAACTCGTCTCAGGTTGCTGAAACTCCTTGAATATCACTCCAAGGACTCGAAGGAAGGCTTTCTCACCACCTTCTCCCCTTCTCGCACTTTCTTGCGCCTTTGGACTCAAGTTCCAGTTTTGGTCTCTTTTGGTCCCCTTTTGCTTACCGGTAAAAGAAGACGTGTGAAACTCATCTCATGCCACTGAAACTTCTCGAATATCACTTGTAGAACTCAAAGCATTGCTTTGTCACCACCTTCTCCCCTTCTCGCATGTTCTGGAGCCTTTGGACCGAAGTTCACGTTTTGGTCTCTCTTGGTCCCGTTTTGCTCACCAGCAAAGGAAGACGTTCAAAACACGTCTCAGGCTGCTGAAACTCCTTGAATGTCACTACAAGGACTCAAAGGAAGGATTTCTCACCACCTTCGCCCAGTTTTGGTCTCTATTGGTACC